AATCATATGATGAAATAGATTACGAGCACCTTGAACAATTACCTTATTTACATGCAGTAGTATCGGAGACCCTGCGCCTACATACCCCTGGATTTGTTGTAAAACGTAAGGCTACCAGAGATTACACATTAGGTGACACTGGTATCAAAATTCAACAAGGTCAGCAAGTAAACGTGGTAACTTGTGCCATTCACTATTCCAATGATTATTATGAAGATCCGTTTGAGTTTAACCCTGATAGATTTTTGCCAGAGAATAGGCACAAAATTAAACCGTATACATATTTTCCATTTGGTACTGGGCCACTTATGTGCTATGGACAGAGATATGGCCTGTTATTGACAAAATTGGCCTTGTTCAATATATTGAAAATGTATCGCTTGGTTAGAGTCCCCCAAAAAGCAAACGGTTTAATCAGTGATGAAAAGCCGTTACGTTTAGTGAATTCGTCCGAGATTTTTGTCGGATTTGAGAAAAGAATTTAAAAAATTTAAAACTTATTTTATAATTGTTTATATCTGTTATATAATTATAAAGTCATTATTAAAAGTTACCTAAAACTTGGTATTTTATGTGAGATTTTTAATATAGATTTGTATACACTAAATCTTAGCAAAAATATTAAAATTTTGATAATCCATAATTTTAGCTTACATTCTAAACACAGATATTTTAAATATGAAATGTCAATTCTATAGTTTTTATTTATTAATAAAACACTAAATTCAAAAATTGATAATTAGCAAAAATCATTTCAAAATTATTAAATCATTTACAAATTTATACCTTTTAATCTTTAAAAATATTTTTGTTCTTAAATTATGTTTAAAAATATCTATTTGTAGTTTAATTTTGAAAATTGATTATTTAATAATGTATCAGAATTCAACATTTTTAAATATGCTTAAACATAACCAAGTGATGACCCGCCATCTACAACATGAATAGTGCCTGTTATAAAATTAGCATTTGAACTTGCTAAATATAGCGCACATTGAGCAACATCAATTGGTTCGCCATAATGTCCAATGGGATATCTTGCTGCACGATTTGCATCAGCTTTCCAAAACAATTTAGCTTGCTCATCAGAGTAACCGCTTGTTTTAAATATGTTTGTCTGCACTATACCCGGACTAATGATTTAAAAATAACAATACATTTTAAAAATATACAGTAACTGATACAAAAATACTATTTAACTATCACCTTATCGCATTAACCCGGATACCTTTGGTACCTAACTCTGTTGCCATACATTTGGTAAACATGTTCAGGGCACATTTTGTCATGCAATATGATGATATATTTTTGGCCTTTAAATATAAATTTATAAGAAGTAATAATACCCTGATAGTTATCATCAACACTTGCTATAATTACCGCTCTTTCCCCTCCAATACTAGAGATATAAATAATATTGCCTTTTGTTGTCTCCAAATATTTAATCGATAAATGCGTTAAAAGTATAACAGAATTGAGATTCACGTCAAACACGTTAACAAATAGATTTATTAACAATGATTGTGTTATTATATTATATTTTATATTAGCCTATAGATAATATTTCTAGAAAATTCTATCATTTCCATATCTCTTATTAAAAAATAAATTATTATATTAGTAAAGCATTTGTAATGTCATATAATATTTATAACACAAAATATTAATTAATTTACTTTAAATATTATTTATAACTACAAATATTCATTATACCCAAAAATCTTTCCATATGTTCTAGACCAATCATAATATACTTGTGGTCTACTATTTAGCAATTCAATTGCATTACCAAACACCGGGATCGGTTTGGGTCCCTTGATTCCCAATTTAGTCCACTTGTGGTAATTCTTGTATAAAAATCTATATATTAAATAATCATGTTAATTATAAATGTAACTCTAACTTAAAATTATTTTACTTACTTGTAAATTATATACAAGACTATAAAACATAAAATTAAATCCAACACAATAATTATAGAATTCATGTGTTTTTAAATTAAACACAAAATATTATAATTAAAAGTTTAATGATTAAAAATAAAATATCAAACTTAATAATATCTGTAAATAAACTCTAATTCCTGATAAATATTGATTACATAACTTAATATTATACATGTAATAAGTTTGTTAAACACAAACACCATAACAAAATGTCTAGACTCATATTTGACTAGACTCATGTTTAGATAAACGCAATGTAATAATGATTGTATAACTTCTAAGAAAACCTATATTTAAATAACCTTATTTTAATAATTTTATATATATGAACTGAAATAATCCAAATAATGTATTAAAGATTTTATAGTTATTACATTTATAAAGTTGCTTACGGTTAAGCAAATGACTATATTTTTATAAAAGGCTTAACTAAAAAATCATCAATATATCATTTGAAATCTTTCAATTCAAATAATAAATACAAAACATTTAATTTAATAAATGAATTTTACATCAAAAACATAAGTTGATAAAATATAGAATATAAAATAATTAATAATGCTTAAACTAAATATTTATTCAGAATTCTAGCACACACACATTTCTCTAATATATTAAATATGAAAATATTAATCTTATATATTGAGTAAATTTTAAATTTACATTCTACGTTCAATACCGACCATGCACCTTTTTGGCATTCTAATAGTCATAAGCCGTTTATATTGCAGCGGTATATCAGTGTCAGGGATGCAGTACACGCGGTAACGCATTATAAAATGAGCCAGAGCACATTTCATTACGAGCAATCCAAATCTCATGCCAATACACGTGCGTGGACCTAGACCAAATGGCATAAAAGTGTATGGCACCAACTTATGCTTGTTTTCTGGCATGAATCGATCAGGATCAAATTTCTCTGGATTATCATAATACTCCCCGGAATGTTGTACATTATAAATGGGAATCTCCACGTGCTGTCCAGGCTCAATACTAATGCCTGTCTCGCCTAAACTATAGGCACTGGTAGCCTGTCGTACGAGACGGACTGCCGGTGGGTATAGTCTTAGGGACTCCGACACGACTGCATCCAAATACGGCATTTGAGTCAATGCTTCATAACTGATGTCCGATGAGTCGGGTGTCGACGCCGTTATCTCGTCGTAAAGTCTCTGTTGAATGTCTGGGTTGAGGATTTAAAAATAATTAAAATCAATTTTATTATTTGTACCATTTATATTCATAATGGGCTTTATTTACATCACTCTAATATTGATACTGATATTTGTGTTTATAAACACATACAGGTAAGTTTTATACAATATTAGCAATGCATACATTTAAATATTTTTCTCTTATATTAGAAAGTATTCAAACACACTTAATCATTGGAGTAAGCAAGGTATACAGGGTCCAACACCAATTCCTATATTTGGGAACTATTTGCAAACATTTTTCACCTTGAGACATATTCGTGAACTAGAGTGGTCTAAAAGGTTTGGTAACATTTATGGGTAATTATATAATTATATATAACTAAACATAATCTGAACACTATTTGAAAGCATTTATAACAAAACCTGTATCAGAAATGTATTATATTAAAAGCAACTTTTAAGTGTTATGGACTAAATTATAATAGCTTTTATCGTTTTTTTGTAAATACCGAATATTGTATTATAATATTGAATTATTAAAAGATTATAGTGTTCATTGAATTATCGTATAGTGCAATATTTGCTATTTATAAAAACAATAAAAGCTTTTATAGCATTACTTTAGCCAAAAGCACTGGAAGGTTGTTTAAAAAACAAAATATTTTTGATATTATAAATTGTTTTAAAATGATTCATATTTTAAAAATATTTCGGTTATTTAAATAAAATACCCATAGGCATTTCATGGGAACTATGCCGGTGTTAAATATCGCTGATCCCGAGCTTATAAAACTTATTTTAGTAAAGGATTTCCACTTGTTCACTGATCGCACTAAAGTATGGATTTCCCCTGATAACATTATGAGCAAAAATCTTCCCCAACTACACGGCGATCAATGGCGTAGAGTTCGTTCAATTATGAGTCCCTTATTTACGTCCGGAAAATTACGTAGATTTGAACCGAAAATAAAGGACTGCCTGGATAACTTTACTTTTGTGTAACTATTAAATAATTACTCATTACTCTCATAGTTGCACCTACGTGACCTTGATAAATTATTCAAGTGGAACCTACAATAACGTGCAACGCGCAAACCATAACTTTAATTATAAATACCACAATCGGAAAATAATTTATTTGTCGAAAACGCTCAGAAAAAGTTTATTTTCAGTGGTTATCGTGAAAAATACTGTTATTACAATGGTTCTAGTGACGTAGCAAACAACCCTTACAGGTTATGACTATGTTTACTAATAAAGCACTTATAATAAGCGTTACAATAAAGTTTCGCTGCAGTTTTGGGACTACTTTGGTACGACGATTTTATTCAACTATTTCTGGAGGCACGGCTTATAGACGAATTGGATAAAGGTCAATATTTATATTTCACTAACAAATAAGATACTTTGATTTATTAAGTTTTTCAATATAAAAATTTGTTTTATGCTTACATTTATAAATTAGTAATACAAAAATCAAAATTGTTTTATATAAAGTAGATACCCAGGGACGAAATATGAAGTTCAAGAATAAACGTTTGACTGAAAATGAAATGATAGCCAATGCGTACGGATTTCTATTGGCTGCAAATCAGACCACTTGTATCGCACTGTCCTATTGTCTACACGAGTTGGCCCTCAATCCGGACGTCCAGCAGAGACTCTACGACGAGATAAACGGTGCCATCGATTCGGACGGAGAGATACCGTACGACATTGTGTTGACACGACTACCTTATTTGGATGCCGTCTTATCGGAGACACTGCGCCGACATTTAGCTGTTATGCCGATCTCAAGGATCGCGACCATTGACTACTCACTTGGCGACACCGGTATCACCATTAAGGCCGGGCAACAAATTGAAATACCCATCTATTCCATACACAATTCGGATAAGTATTTTGCTGATCCCCACCGTTTTAACCCGGATAGGTTTTTGGCAGAAAATCGCCGTAACATTGAGCAATATACTTTCTTGCCATTCAGTAGTGGCTCTAGAAATTGCGTGGGAAAGCGATTCGCCATTTTAAAAATCAAGATGTCCCTTGCTCAATTGATTAGAAACTATCGCTTCAGTAGGTGTCTTGAAACTGATGATCAGATTCGGTACCAGAAATTCATTCACTTTATGCTTCCCGAGAGGCTATTCGTTGGAATCGAAGCAAGAATTTAGTAATTGAATAGAAGCTCAAAATATAAGTAGCATGGACAATTACATATGGTATTCGTATAGAAAAAGTGGCCTATGTGTGCGTCTATTGTTTATTTTTATTGACTTTTAATGCTGAATTATATTAAATTTATTCTAGATACAATATTCAAATATTACCTTAGTTGCACATTTATATCTGTATTTTAAATAAAAATTGTATTTTGTTGAAATCTATTCATTAAATATATTACACCAATTTAATTAAATTACATTTATCAAATTCAGACATAAATAATGAATTATAAAAGTGAATAACATGAACAGTTAATAATGTTATTAGAATTACAATATGAAATAATTTTAAATACATACAATTCGCCGGAAATAAATGTATCAAATAAATATAGACAGACATGACAAAAATAACACTGTATTTTAATTATATTAAAAATATCAACGATTAAATTTTAATTATTATTTATTGCATAATGTACTAAATTACAAAGAAATACAATCATAATGTAAACTAATCTCGGTTAATGATCACGAGTGTTGGCATTGTAAGATAACATTATAATAGCCAGTGACTTACAAAGTTTAGGGGCATGTACTAGTGTTGAAATTATAATAATGTTAAAATGTTATAGTTTGTATTAAGTGGAAATCACTGGTAACAACATAATATATCACTAATTAAATTAAAATAGCTAATAAAATGGTCAATCAGATTAATCATAATTATCCCTTTTCTGAACTATTACGGACGCACTTATCGGAAGTGTTTAATGAATAAACTTCTTATATCTTATGGGAACGTCTGTTTGTGGGCACCGTATGAATCGGTAGCGCAATACGATATGAGCAAGGGCCAATTTGATTTCAAATAGCGCGAACCGCATACCCACGCAATGTCGAGGTCCCGCCCCAAACGGCAAATACGTGTACGGCCTAATCAAGTGTTTTTGATCGGGCATAAATCTATCAGGGTCATATATGAAAGGATCTTTATAATTCAGATCCGAATGGTGTATAGCGTGCACTGGGATTTCAATCTGTTGACCAGCTTTAATTACAATACCGGTATCACCTAGTTTACAGTCTTGTGTGCAATACCTAGCTAAAGGCACCGGAGCTGTATAGCGCCGTAAAGTTTCCGATATGACTGCATCTAAATAGGGTAGTCGTGCCAACTGGTGGTCAGGGATTTCTCCCGTTTTCGAATCGATAGCTTCTGTTAACTCATCGTATAGTCGGTGCTGAATATCTTCATTAACAGCCATTTCGTAGAGACTAAACGCCAGGGTTAATGCCGTTCCCCCATAGGTGGCCACAAGGAATACGTTAGGAACACGATAGTAGAGCAAAAGCCTATTAACGAATAGGGTACTGGAGGACAAAGGGAGTGAACTGTTGGCCAAACATTGATATTTTATTAAAATGTAAATTTCTGCTGTACTGGTAACATTATAATATTTTATAATTATGTAGCGTAATTTTAATATGCATACATACAGTAATAAATTATTGGTTATACATAGAAAAATATGCAAAAGCTAAACAAATAACTAGTAAAAATCTTTACCTTGCTTCTCAATAAACATATCACCTGGTACAGTGGTTGTTGTGCCACCCAGATTGGTGGTATCTATTTCCGCGTCCATAAGTTGTTGAATGAAGTCATTGTGTTTTAAATCTGGGTTTTGTCGTCTTTGCGAAATTATATGTCGAATGGAGTCAACGAAAAAGTTTGTCGCTTTGGGATCCCGAAACCCATCTTTAGCGAAATTTGGTAAACCGTTATTGTTAACACGGTCGAGAAACTTACCCCATTGTATATCGACTAAGAACCGGTAACTGTGTTTATACAAGTACAGTTAAATACTAGAGAATACACTTGTGGCCATTGCATCCATTGAAAACTGTCTACATATTTCCAATAAATTGACCAAGTGACTTTCATCTAATCGTGTGTACACTTCCCCTAAACACTCCACAATCCTAGGCTTCATTTTACGCATTTTTCCCGAACTGAATACTGGGCTAACTATTGCTCGAATGCGATGCCAATTATCCCCGGTCAATTGTTTTAGATTTTTACTCGTTATTGCATTGTTAGACATGTTTAACTTTGATCGATTTGGAAATAGATGAAAATCTTTAATTAATATAACTTTGATTAACTCCGGATCCGATATTCGTAAAATAGGTACTCTTCCAGAATAATACCTGTTTTAATATACAAACATTAAATATAATTATAATTATTTTCTATTATATTTATAAATTAATTTAATTAAATGGGTATTTATAAGGGTATAAATAACTTGGTTAACTCTAGGTCATCCACGAAAACTGTAAATTTAGTGCTGAGAAAATTTCCAAATATAGGTATTGGTTTAGGCCCATTTATACCTTGCTTGCTCCAATAATCGTACCCATGTGCATAAAATCTATTTATAATATTAAATATGTTAAATATAACTAAAATATTTTAAAATATCAGGAATTTACAAGTAATTGTATACTGCAATTATTACAAGGATTAATACAACTGTCAATAATACAGGATCCATTTTCTAGAATTAAAAAATTAAGATGTATTTAAACACAAAGTGATAAATATAAACTGCTTTTAAAATTCTCATAAAAATGTTTCGTTTTAATTAACCAGATATGTTATATTTCTAAAAAGATTAATAAGTAGATATACAATTTTAACACATATAAACTATGAAAATAAATATAGTCAATTATTATAAAATTTGTAAAGTCGAAAAATTTTAATTTATAAAATCACTGCAATAAAGACAATGTACGAGTAATGCGACAAATAATGTGTTTTATAGAATCGGACATGTTTTTTAAATTGGCAAAAAATCTTTAATGTAAACGATTACATCATATAATGTCATAATTGAATTTGTCATCTTACAATGTTACGATAAAAATTATAAAATACGACACAGTAAATAAACGGTGTTAATAATCAAATTGATCAATATCTGGATACCTTATGATAACATATAAACAAATTATTTTAATATAAAAAGATAAGTTGTGTTTAAAAATATTTAACTTTGATTATTTTAAACTTTTAAATTTTAAAAAATAATTAGCTTGGTAAAATTAGCTATGTATTATTTAAATGTTATCCTATTCTTGATTTCTGTATTATTAGCAAGTGTTTTCCTATACAAGTAAGATATTTATGTTTAAAATAAATATTTTTAAAAATTATTAATTACTAGATTGTATTAATGATAGATTTAGCAACCTAATTCAAGGGAATGACTATTGGCGTAAACGTGGTATACGTGGTCCGACACCTGGGCTATTATTCGGAAATTGTGTCCATTATTTTACAAAATATAAATGTATGCAAGATCTTACCTGGGGTAAAAGGTTTGGCAAAATATACGGGTATGGTTGTGCTTTTATTATTTTACATAAGGGAGTATAAATTATTTTATTAATATTTTTATTTTAAATAATATGTGCATTGTCGATAAAATACACGTTTTGTGGTTAAGACCAATAACCACTGGGACTCGAATATTCCCTATAGTACTAATTTCTAACCTCGAACAAGTGACTAGCAAGGGATTAATACTTTTGGTTACCCCGTTCTATTACAAAGGCTATCTACCAACAAGATGCAAGTAGAAAGAGACTCATTCGCGACTTAATTAGCCCGGCTTATACATCGGGAAAATTGAGAAAAATATACCCGAAAATTGGTAAAAGTCTCGGGGATATGGACAATTATTTATCCCGTGTTATCAATGATCATGGTGGCAAAAGTGTTGTAATAGACATTAAGTACGTTTGGCAAACATTTACCGTGGACGCATATCCTAAATGTGGTATGTCCGTAAATACGAGCGCTTATAATACGCCACAAAATGAACTAGCTATTTGTTTGCGTCGGTTTATTGACGTTGATATTCGCCGAGAATTGCTGTCAATTATGTTGCCGTCATTTATGTCAAATTGGCCTAAACTTGGAAACCAACGAGTGATTCAGTATTTGTTGCGTACTTTTCGTGAGATATGTAGCGAGCGCTTACAGACACACAACTATAAACAGGATAAGTATATTGATTTCCTTCAACTTCTTATGGAAACACAGGCTGTACCAGGATCAACTAACTTAACCAACATTGATAAACAAGATTCAGGTAAGTTTAATAAATGATACTAAAAATTAATTTAATTTTTTGTAATAAAAATTGATTATTTGTTCAACCAAAAATATACTTTTAAATAGACTAGAATAATTTAATTTTAAAAAATTATTTAAAAGTAATTATAATCTTACTAGTACATCCACATCTAGTACAGCTAGTATAGATATTAGTACAGATAACATTATATATAAAACATTATTTATACAACACTATTTGCTCTGTTTGTACAATCTAGTATATCGTACTGATCGTTAAGAAACTCGTTAAAATACTAACTACCCTGATAATTAAATTACTTTAATACATCTATCAGCTTGCTCATTTGACTCAAATAAGGATAATTATAGTTTAAAAAATAGTGAAAATTCAGATGTTGGAAATAGTTATGATATTAAAGTTGGAAAAAATATTTCTAGTTTTGTAGATGAAAATAGAATTTTTTTAAATTATGATCAAAAAGAAATAATTAACAGATATAAAAAATTAAATAGCAATTACATGGTTTTAAAGGTTTTAGATAAACTTCCTGCTGAAATAGGGTTTGCAGATGGTACTGTCGGTAATAATGTTGAAGAAAATAAGCATTATATGTCTAATCTAGATACACATATAAACTTTAAGACAAATTACATATTTTTTAAAAGTACCAATTATGTACCTTACGATGATAAAATTCTTAATACTATTGCTAAAATGTTGGGTGATCAAATTTATGTGATCAATGGAAATAAAGTAGATGATAAAGATTTAGATAAAAATATTAATCTTTTTATTAAAAGGCTCGAGTGCAGCACTTCGTCACAAGAAGAAGTGCTAGAGTGGAATGTAAATGATATTCATATTATTTTAGAAGCATCAGGAAATAAAAATGAAAAACTAACAAGTCTTTTTTTTACAGTTTATTTTACAAAGAAAACGGATAAAAAAATATGAAACATCAATATATTAGTTTTTATATCTATAATATTGAAAATTATCTAGAAATTTTATACCTTTGATAAGGCTTAATGAGTTATGAGGAAAATTTTAACTATTTTTATATACTCTTTTTTTTCTATTTGCATGTGTTCCTAATGAGCCATTAGATCATCTATGTCATATAAATAACAAAACTAAAAAAAGCGATACTCGAAGTGACGTAAAGGAAATATCGAGAGATATTAATTTATTTGTTGTTAATCATGATTTGTATTTGGACTATAATTTTAAAAAAATATATAGCAAATATAAGGAAATGAATTCAAATTATTTGAAGTTAAAAGTTATAGATCGATTATCTGCTACTCAAGGTTTTGATAATGGAATAGTTCACAATGAAAATTTTGAAGATAATTATCATCATATGTCTACATTAGAAGTACGAACTACAGGACAAGGTCCAAATACAAATTATTATGCTAGTGATAATTTCGTTCCATTTGATGAAAATATCCATAAAAATATCTATCAATCAATTTATGATCAAATTTTTTTAATAAATTCAGCAGCTTTAGATAAAAGTAGTCTTGATAACTTCATAGAAAATTTTTTAACTAAAGGACGATGTCAAGGTGGGGATCAGTACGGAAAGGTTATTACTGAAAAGAATTTTAATGGTGTACATATTATCTTGGAATCTGAACCTGAATGGTTTGTAGGGAAAGGCCAAGTCAATAGTTTTGCTTATACTGTATACTATACAAAAATGACAGATAAAAATCATTATATTATTAAACTTAAAATAATAATTTTGATATGCTTTTTTATAACGTCCTATAGTTTTGGTAGTAGTATTGAAGATCATACAAATTATTATATTTTTAAAAATAATAGTGAACGTCTAATAGCCCCAGAAGTGGATTTTAGTAAAAATGCCCCAGTGAATCAGCTTAAATTGGAAGCTATTTCTATTGATTTTTATAGAATTAAAAATGAAATTTTAAAATCAGGATACATTGAGCATAAGGAAAATGCTCCCTTGAGTAAGAAACGTTATGAAATTGAACCAAATTCATATGGTATAAATAAGATCTTCTTTTTTGGTCGTGGTGACGAACTACCTGAAATCTCATCTACAATATATTCAACTGGAGAGAATCTTAAGTCTCAACGTAAAATAGTAATCTATTTAGGTCATGATTATGATGAAGTTACTGGAAGATATAAGAAAATTAATTTGGATCCAGAAGTTCCAATGATCTTTACAAATATTTTAGGATTGAATGAAAAAAATTTAATGGATGTTTACGAAAAACTATTGCAAGAGCACATAACAGATATTGAGAATAGAGTACATAAGTATGGAAAATTTTTAGTCACAAATAGAATTGAAGTTTCAGGTTTTTGGTTTGAGTTTAATACTGATCAAACAAATAATTATACTGCCTTTTATATTTATAAGAGTAATGGTGTTATTAAATAAGATGTTGATAGTAAATATTTTTATATGCTAAGAGATAGTGTTGTTATGAAATATTTCATTTTTGTTATGGCTTTAATGCATCTATCAGCTTGCTCATTTGATTCAACTGAGGATAGTTGTAGTTTAAATAATAGTGAAAATATAAAAAATGAAAATGGCTATGATGTTCGAGTAGCTAGAGATATATCATCATTTGTTGAAAATAATAAAATTTATTTAAATTATGATCAAAATGAAATTATTAAAAGATATTTTGAGTTAAATAGTTATTATTTAGTATTGAAAGTTCTAGATAGTATTTCTCCTGAAAAAGGTTTTAGTGATGGTACTATTAATAATAATGTGAAGAAGAATTTTGATTACATTTCCCGTCTTTCAGCTAATAGTAATTTAAAAGGTAATCATATATTTTTTAGTAGTGATAACTATGTTCCTTATAGTGAGCAATTAGAAGAAAAAATTGTATCTATGGTTAAAGATCAGATTTATGTGGTAAGTGGTGATAAAGTGGGTGGGGAAGATTTGAATAGTAAAGTTAGTACTTTTATAAAAAAACTAAAATGTAGTAATTCAAATGAGCCTGAAGTGGAAGAATGGAATGTAAATGATATGCACATTGTTTTGGAAGCTGATGGAAAACAAATTAAAAATAGGAAATATAATAGTTTGAATTTTTTTATTTATTTTACAAAGAAAACGGATAAAAAATATGAAACATCAATATATTAGTTTTCTGTATGTTTGCTGTTTAAGCTATCTTGGAATCTGACCAGAATGGTTTGCAGAGAAGGGTCAAGTCAATAGCTGTGCTTATACTGTATACTATACCAAAAATGACAGATAAAAATTATGAAAAATCATTATATTATTAAACTTAAAAGCGTATTTCTGATATGTTTTTCTATGACATCCTATATTTTTGGAGCGAATGTAGAAAATCGAATTTTTAATTTTGAAGATAAAGAAATATCAGCGTTATCTTCTGAAATAAATTACTCCAGATTTGCACCAGTAAACCAGCTTAATTTAAAAGCAATGCCTGTAGATTTAGATGAAATAATAAAGAACCTTGCAAAAATAGGTTATATCAATAGGGATACAGTCTCGAATAGTAAACGCTATGAAGTGCTATCCTATGGCTTGACGACCAAGAAAATTTATTTTTTTAATAATAACAGTCAAACACCTGATTTCTTTTCTGAGATTTATGCAACGAACTCTAAATTTAATCAACTCAAAAGTATTCGTCTAGGGTTAAGTATTGAATACAATGGGAAAAGATTTAAAAAAATGAATACAGATCCGATTGTTCCCACAAGTTTTATTTCTGCTTTAAATGTGATTGATGAGAGGAAAGCAAAAGAGGTGTATGTTTCACTCATGAAGCAACATATTTTAAATATAAAAAATAATGTGAATGAGTATTGTGAATTTTTAGTGACGACGAGAGTAAATGTTAAGGATTATTGGTTAGAATTAAATACTGAACTCACAAAGAATAATACTTATTTCAATATTTACCAAAGCAAAGGAATTCCTCAAAAATGCAATTTGTGAAATTCTTTGTTTGGATTTTTTGCTTAGTCCCTTTTCCGGCATCCTGTGGTGATTATAGAAAAACTAATAGTGATGGTGATTTCGTATCCCCTCAGCAGTAGATGCTTTATGAATATAGTTTCCTAAACGAGATTAAAGCTTTTATAATAATTTAAATTCAATAACTTAAATCTTGATAATTTAAAATTCGAAGCTTTAGGATATCCAATTTAGCACTCAGGTCAATTCCATATCTACCGTGAATAAGCTATATTAATGGCACCAAAAATAGACAATCAACAACATGCAAAATTTACAACAACTCTTTATCAACACCCAAGAAAATTACGAATTGATCCCTGATTTTATCGATCTACTTTTAGCATCGGATATTTATTGTTTGGGAACACAAGATCAGCAAAAAAAAATTCAATTCCGTATTTTAGAAACACCAGAAGGCGATCAAGCAATACCATTCTTCATTGAACTAGAAACCATTCAAAATGATATTGGCGTCGATGCCGAATATATCACTTTAAATACACGGCAGTTTTTTGAAATGACTCAGGGGGCAACATTGGTATTGAATCCAACTTCTGAATTATCAAAAGAATTTCAACCTGAAGAAATTAAAGCAATTTTAGAGATTGATGAAGCAATTTAAAAATGTGCAGGATTCAATTTCTCCAGCACTTCATCAATTTTTTTCAACCGTTTGATTTCATCCCATAAGGCTTTGGCTTCGGGGTAATGCTTAGACATCATCCCAATCCATTGTTTATAACGGCCGACCATGTTCAGCTCTTTTTTATATGGCCCATTTAAAAAACGAATTTGTAAATTTAATAGTTCAGACCATGTGATAAGTGGTTCATCCGTATTTTTACGAATACATTGTGTGAGATCTGGTGTAGTCACAGCACCACGACCAATCATCAAATCTTGGCAACCTGATTCAAGTTGGCATTGTTTCGCATCAGCATTGGTCCAGATTTCACCATTGGCAATCACATTGATCTTGAGTGCTTCACGAATAGGCTGTAGCTGATCCCAAAATGCTGGTGGGGTGTAACCATCAGCTTTGGTCCGAGCATGGACAGTGACCCAAGCTGCGCCAGCATCTTCAATGGCATGCGCATTTTCAAGGGTAAAATTTCGATCCATATAACCTAAACGCATTTTTGCAGATACAGGGATGTGTTTGGGTACTGCATCACGTACAGCCTTGACCAACTCATGTACAACTTCAGGCTCATCGAGAAGTACTGAACCACCTCTATGACGGTTTACTGTTTTAGCAGGACAACCAAAATTCATATCGATTGCAGGAGCACCTAATTCAGCAGCGCGTACCGCATTGGCTGCGAGCATTTCAGGATTATTTCCTAAAAACTGAACGTGTACTGGTGTGCCAGCGGCTGTTTTGCCTTGATTGTTTAATTCTGGACAATAGCTATGATAAACATGGTCAGGTAAGACCGAATCCGTTACACGGATAAACTCAGTCACGCACCAGTCAAAGCTACCGACATGTGTGAGAACGTCACGCATGATAGGGTCGGTTAAGCCTTCCATTGGGGCGAGTATAAGTTTCACAATTGTTACCTGATGAGATGAAAACAGCGTTATACGCATTTTTGTAGGAGATGTCTACCGATGCAAAATATATTCTAGGTCAGTGCTGAAGGGGGTGTTATTGAAAAGTTGATCCATAAATTTTCATTATCAAAACTTTCTACATAAAGTCGAATTTTTTGTTGTGGATACATGTTCTTTAAACCTAAATGCGATTCACAATCCTTGTAACTGGCTAAACCATAAAACCTTTCGCCATATTGAACAATCACCCCTTGAGGGTAGAAACACACAATCTCGGTTTCAATGTTTTGTCCAATTTTAAATTTGTTCTTTAATTCATTCCAATCACTTAAATATTTAGAGATTGATTGATTCCAAAAATTTAAAAACTCATCTTTTTCAATGGGAATAATTTCATCTAAAATGTCAGAAAAACTTCCTTCAGGTAAGAAAAAATGTGCTTGTTCTATGTTTAAATTTGTATTGATGCTGAGTGAAGCTGTCACCAGAATTGATCTGAGGCAGTAATATTCCAGATCTAATTCATATAAAACAATTTCTTCTGCTTCTGTATCAATATATTTATAGTAAGAATACAAAATACTGCCCATTTTTGCTCAGCGCTGCGTTTATCAACGATGCAAAATCATTTCCAAAACAAATTTAGAACCAATAAAGCCAACCGCCAATAAAAAGAATCCAATCATGGTAAAGCGAATGGCTTTTTGACCACGCCAGCCAAACTTATAGTGACCAATTAACAACGCACCGTAAACAAACCAAGACACAATGCTAAACACGGTCTTATGTGCTAGGTGCTGTGCAAAGAAGTCATCAATGGTAAAGAAACCAAAACATAGGGCGACAGTTAATAAAACAAAACCAGTAATGAGCATATCAAAAAGTAAGGATTCCATGGCTTGATATGACGGTAAGAAGTTGACCCAAATACGTTTTTTTTGTTTCTTTTTGAGTTCACGGTTTTGAAACCAAATCAAAACGGCTTGTATGGTTGCCATGAGTAAAACGGCATAAGCAGATAAAGACAGAATGATATGGATGTCTAAACCGATAGAATGCTGTTCAATAAATTGATCTGGTTTACTAAAACAAAAACCGAGAATCAAACCAAAGGCGGCAACAGGAATTCCAATCAAATTTAGTGAAAGAACAGGACGATAGGTACTATAAAGCATACTTAGAACCAACATTAACGCAGAGGTAAAAGACATCAAGTTAAAGACGTCGTAATTAATCCCTAGTGGTGTAAGTATGTCGTTATGCAGTACACTTGCATGTAATATCAGCCCTAAACCTGACATGATGCCAATAAACCAAGGGTTTGCGGAACGTTTAGCCATTAAGTGCATGAACAAATACCAAAATGAAGAGGTATAGGCAATTAATGCTAAAATCGTATAAACCAAGGGTAGGCTAATCATGTCAAACCTTTTTCAGGATGATGAATATTCATGTTATAAGATATAAATTCCATGTGAACTACAGTATCCTATAGCATCTTGAGCATAAATTTTCTATTTTAAGAAAGATTTTTTTGCTACTAGCTATTTTAAGCGGATTTTGCAATGTTTGATACCTTAACAGAACGACTCACGCAGAGTCTCAGAAATGTTACTGGCTCTGGGCAGCTAACCGAAGATAATATTAAAGATACCTTACGTGAAGTGCGTATGGCACTTCTTGAAGCCGATGTTGCTTTGCCTGTAACTCGTGAGTTTATTGCGAAAGTTAAGGAAGAAGCATTGGGTCAAGAAGTCATGACTCAGCTTTCACCAGGTCAAGCTTTCGTTAAAATTGTGTATGACGAACTCACCAAAATGATGGGTGAGGCAAACGAAAGCCTAGACTTAGCTGCAAAACCACCTGTTGTGATTCTTCTCGCAGGTTTACAAGGTGCTGGTAAAACCACGACAGCTGCAAAACTTGGACGTTTCTTAAAAGAACGTCAAAAGAAAAAAGTGGCGATGGTTTCTGCCGATGTATACCGTCCAGCTGCGATTAAGCAACTTCAAACAGTTGCTGCTGAAGTGGGTGTTGATTTTATTGAATCGGACGCTTCTGAAGATCCGATTAAAATTGCACAACGTGCAATTGGTCAAGCCAAAATTAACTTTAACGATGTTTTGATTGTCGATACGGCAGGTCGTTTGCATGTCGATGATGACATGATGGACGAAATTAAAGCATTACACGCTGCAATTGGCCCAACAGAAACCTTATTTGTCGTTGATGCAATGACAGGTCAGGATGCGGCAAATACCGCTAAAGCCTTTAATGATGCATTACCATTAACGGGTGTTATCCTCACCAAAACCGATGGTGATGCACGTGGTGGTGCGGCGCTTTCGGTACGTGCGATTACTGGTAAGCCAATTAAATTCTTAGGTATGGGTGAAAAACTCGATGCCTTAGAGCCATTCCATCCTGAGCGTGTTGCACAACGTATCTTAGGTATGGGTGACGTACTTTCTTTAGTCGAAGAAGTTGAACGTAAAATCGACAAAGAAAAAGCCGAAAAAATGGCGAAAAAATTGCAAAAGGGCGGGAGCTTCAACTTTGAAGATATGCTGATGCAATTTGAACAGATGAACAAAATGGGCGGTATGATGGGCTTCTTGGATAAGTTGCCTGGCATGAGCAATTCAGGCATTCAAGATGCGATTGCACAAGCAAATCCTGAAAAGCAAGTGAAAAAGATGGAAGCGATTATTCAATCGATGACCATTAAAGAACGTCGTAACCCAGACTTAATGAATCCGAGCCGTAAAAAGCGTATTGCAGCAGGCTGTGGTATGGATGTGGTTGAAGTCAATAAACTGATCAAACAACATGCACAAATGGCGAAAATGATGAAGAAATTTGCCAATCCATCGGGTATGGCAAAAATGATGCGCTCATTGGGTGGAATGCAAAAACAGTTTGGCGGTGGCGGCGGTATGGGGCCATTGTTTGGTAATAACGATAAAAAATAAGTCTCATTTTTTTTATAAAAAGCGCCTTAGGGCGCTTTTTTGTTAAATAAAAATAACATACTTTTGTTGGCTGTTTAGATATTCTGAGCCCATTATTTGAATATGATTTAAACAATAATTGATAAGAAGTTTATTTATGAAAAAAGTATTTATCGTACACGGTTATAAAGGCTCCCCTGAACATCATTGGTATCCGTGGCTAAAGCAACAAGTATTGTCTACATGGCATACATGTGAAGTGATTGATCTAGAACATCCAGAGCAACCCCAATATGAGCTGTGGAAGCATAATATTACGCAGCAAATTAAGTCACTCAATGACGATACCATCATTGTGGCACATGGCTTAGGAGGTATTGCCAGTCTAGATTTTCTTTCGAGTGAATTATTGGGGCGAAAATTAGGTGCTTTGTTTTTGGTTGCGGGATTCAGTAAAAACTTAGCCGTTTTACCTGAACTTAACTTATTTTTACAACACGCTCGGGTCGATGATGCGCTGCTCAGAATGAATATTCTGAATCGCTTTATCTTTTTCTCCAACAATGATCCTTTTGTGCCAGCGCCTGTCAGTATTCAATTGGGTTATTCGCTGAATTCACAAATGATTGAGGTGAAAGGTGCAGGGCATTTTATGGCAACAGAGGGCTATACCAGCTTAACTGTACTTTGGGAAAAGTTAGCAGTTTTATTACAACCTGAATCCCAAGTTGGTACTCAGGCTGCATATTCAATTTTATCGTGATACTGTGTTATTGATTGAGTTTTTGATAAAGCTCGTCAAGAATCTCCTGAGCGTGTTGCTCATCTTGAATCAAATTGCCTTGTTGATCCCAAACTTTACTGTCCAGAATCGAATAATCTTCACTTGGGCTTAATTTTAGTTCAGCTGCAGGTTTGCCATCTTCATACCATACCTTTTGAACGATGGGCTGATCATCTGAATATTCTTCCTGTAGCCCAAGTTGACTATTTGAATAATACGTTTCAGTTTTTCCAACTAATCTCTGGTCTTGGCTGGTCGATTTAAAGCTGATTTTTCCATTTTCAAAATAGCCCACAACTTCACCGTCGACATATTTACTATCAAAGCTATTTAAGCCTTGAGGGGCTTTAATCCAAAATGGATCAGATTGTTTTTTACGGCTATTTTGATAGAAGTCCTGAACTAAGAAACGGCCATCTTTATCACGACCTAATAATTTTCTGAAATATCCATTTTCTACAGGTGTGAGTGAATAACCCTGATCCATGATTAAACCGCACTCACAGGCTTCTTCACCTGCATCTGGAGCAAAGTAAGCAATAACAGGTTCAGTTGTTGCCATGGTTGTTGAAGATGAGTGCGTGGTTTGTAAACTGGTACAACCCACCAGTGTAAAGCTCATTAAACAGACACTAAGCAGTAAGGGGATCGTTTTCATAATGATTGCTCTTTTATCGTGTTTATGGTTGTGTTTATTTATTAAAAATGGAAGATTGCTGATCTTCCATTAAATTGTATTTAGGTTTAAGCGGTTTGTCGATCTATATAGAACTGTAAGCCTTTGAGTAATAAATCTGATTCAATTCTTGGTTGATATTTCTCTAGAAATTGTGCAAATAGATTGGCATCACCACCTGTTAAAATAAGCTTTCGTGGTTGTTGCTCAAGCACTTTTTCAATGGTGCTTAACAGCCCCAAGAAAATGCCATGATGCACTGCATCTATGGTATTTCGACCAGGACTTAGCTCTGAAAAAGCCGCATCTGGAATTTTAATGCCTTTGGTTTTTTGAATTAAAGAATCACGTTGTAAATAGAGGTTAGGCAGAATATAACCGCCTAAATGTTGTAAGCCTTGGGTTAAATCAATTGTTAAAGCTGTACCGCAGCTAATCACACACAAGTCATCATCAGCTTTCGCCACAGCCAAAACTTGTAACCAACGATCGATCCCAAGTTGTTCTATATGGTCATAGCCACAACGTAATCCTGCATATTCAGCATGCACTTTGGCAAAAGTCACCGGAATATCGAGTAATTTTAAAATCTGGACAATGCGTTCGTTGTTCTTTTTATCTTGGACTGAGGAGATTCCAATTTTGTCTAAGCCTAAACCACGGAAATGTTGAATTAAACCCAGTAGCAGATCCGCAGGGGATTGGAGATGTAATTCTGCTGCCTGTTGGATAATTTGATTATTTTCAGTAATCCAATATTTTAGACGGGTATTTCCAATATCTAACCAAAGTGCTTTCATGATTTTGCCTAATTGAAACTGAACACAATCTGCATAATTATTTTATTTGAAAATATTGAACGACTTAGAGAGCATCTCAATCTGATCAATCAAATAGGGCAAATAACCTGCGGTTCATTTTGCTGAACGTTGTTCCGTACTGTTAGTAACTGTTTGCTATGATCTTTGGATCAATACGATTACTGCGCAATATATAGCGAAATGTATAGCGAAAAAAGCCCTGTTTTAAATAATTGCTGATCACTTTTTCACGATACATCTGATCAATCCATCTCATTTTAGACAACGGATCACCTCGTTATTTATGCTTCAGCTAAGCGTAAACGCCCTTGATAGACATTGACTAAGCCTTGAGCTGTCAATAAATTCAGTGCGCCATCATCAGAAATTCCTTTGAAAATACCCTCAATTGAATTTTGAATTTGTTCAAAATAAACCTGTTGATCCATAAAGGCAGCATAGTGATTAAATCGTGCTGCAAGGTTATAGCAACCATGATCAAACCATTGTCCAGCTTGTTGAATTGCCAAATACATTTCTGCAATGATTTGGATTCGATTTGGAAATTGTAGGCCTAATTGCATTATCGAGGTGGCTTGTTGGGTGACATTTTCTTTGGGGATCGGAAATAAGTTGATCCCGATTCCAACAATGGCTTGATGTGGTGAAATGGGCTCAACCAGAATTCCCCCCCACTTTCCTTGAGAGCTATATAGGTCATTGGGCCATTTAATTTGTAATGCTGGTAAATTCTTAAGTGTTGGCATTTGTAAGATATTTAAAGCAATTTCCAATGCTAAACGCCCATCTAAGGGTGTTCGAGTTTCAAGCAATGTGCTTAAATAAATGTTACCAATTGGTGAAACCCATTCCCGTTGGTGCTGACCTCGTCCTTGAGTCTGAGTTTCACTACAGACCAAAACTGTCTTGACGCCGCTGAGCGCAATTTCACGCACATCATCATTGGTCGATGCTGTCGTCTGCTTTAAAAGCAGCACTTCAGGGAGTTCATTTGCTTGTGTAAGAAGTTGTCTAAGATGACGAGTCTCTAAATCCATGTTGAATCTGAGAAGAGTGAAGGAACATTTATGGAGTTAATCATATATTTAGGTATTGGTGCAATCGCAGGATTTGCTGCTGGGCTATTTGGTGTTGGTGGTGGCTTAATTATTGTACCAATTCTCTATGTGGTGTTTACTAAAATGGGCTATGATCCTTCGGTCATTATGCACATGGCATTGGGAACTTCACTTGCAACAATTATTGTAACTTCAATTAGTTCCGTAACAGCGCATCATAAAAAAGGTGCCGTACTTTGGAATGTTTTTAAAAACTTAGCCCCAGGTTTGGTGATCGGCTCATTTATTGGTGCTGGCATTGCAGATATTTTATCAGGTCAGCATTTACAGCTGATTATTGGTGCATTTGCGATTTGGGTGGCATTTAAAATGTTTAAAGGGGCCAATGTCAAAGTTGATGAATCTAAACAATTACCGACCGCACCTATGCAAATGCTGGCTGGTGGGGGAATTGGAGTTGCATCAGCAATTTTTGGTATTGGGGGTGGAAGTCTGACCGTTCCCTATCTCAACAAAAATGGTGTGGTGATGCAAAAAGCCGTTGCAACATCAGCAGCTTGTGGTTTACCAATCGCGATTGCGGGTGCGTTAGGTTTTATGTTCTTTGGTGCACAAGAACCAACCGAAATTAAAAATTCAATTGGTTATGTGCATATTTATGCCTTTATTGGGATCAGTGTAATGAGTTTTATCACTGCCAAATTTGGCGCAAAGGTGGCGCATGCACTTTCTCCAGCGATGTTGAAAAAATGCTTTGCATGCTTACTTACAGTGGTCGGTCTTTATTTTATTTATCAAGGTATTACTAAGTAGATTCCGATCAATGGTACTTTTTCTAAACACTGAGTTGACTTAAAATACATTAAAATTGTCGGACAATGTCATGGTTTCAATTGAATTAAATCAGGTACAACTAAAATAATGACAATTGACATTGTCCAAGTAAAGAATAATAAACCAAGATAGGAATTATATGCATTCGGAAGAAGTGGATAGCCTTTCAGAACAGATTGCCAAACATATTAGTGAACAAATTATTAGTGGCGAGTTGGTTGAAGGGGAAAGAATACAAGAACTACGTATTGCCAAAGAACTGGATGTCAGTCGTGGCTCGGTACGTGAAGCCCTTTTGCTTTTAGAAAGAACCCATCTGATTGAAATTTATCCTCGTCGTGGCGCAATTGTCTCAGAAATGTCAGCACAACAAGTCCGTGCATTGTTCGATACCAGCGCATTGTTATTAGGTCAAATCGTGCAACGTATGAGTGAAACATGGCGCAATCATGAAGCTGAAGCGATTCAGCAGATGATGAATCATTTGGTTGAGCAGGTGAAGCAAGGCAATACTGAAAAGTTTTATGATGGCATATTTCAATTTTTATCAGGGCAACAGGACATGGTTGGGAATCCCTACCTGATGAAATTTTATAAAGAGTTGTTACCATCCCTACGAAGAAGTTATTTTTTAACCTTAAATACTTCAAGACGCGAGCTTCAAGAAGCTTTAGAATTGCTTAAGTTGGTGATTGACGCAATTTTAATCCGAAAATCACAACAAGCTACTTTATTTATGGAAGATTTTTGTCGACACTTACGTAATCTGGTGTTGGAATCTCTGACACGGATGAAACAAATCGAACTCGCTTGGGCGCGGAGATCGCGTCGGTAATTACTAGGACATTATGCGTTTAAGCAGCTTAAAACTTTCAGGCTTCAAATCTTTTGCCGATAGTACAACACTACAATTCAAAGATAACCGTACAGCGGTGGTAGGTCCTAATGGTTGTGGTAAATCCAATGTGATTGACGCGATTCGTTGGGTGATGGGGGAATCCAGTGCACGCCAGCTCCGTGGTGGCAGTATGCAGGATGTTATTTTTACAGGAACGGCAAAACGTAAACCTGTAGGTATGGCAAGTGTAGAACTGCGCTTTGAAAACACCTATGGCAAATTAGGTGGGGCTTATAACGCCTATACTGAACTTGCTGTTCGCCGTCAGGTGAATCGTGATGGAAAATCTGAATACTTTCTCAATGGGACGAAGTGCCGACGTCGTGATATTACCGACATTTTCTTGGGTACAGGTTTAGGTCCTCGCTCCTACGCAATCATCGAACAGGGAATGATTAACCGCTTGGTTGATGCAAAACCTGAAGAAATGCGTATTTTTCTTGAAGAGGCTGCTGGAGTTTCTCGTTATCAGGCTCGTCGTCGTGAAACACTACAACACTTAGAACATACCACGCAGAACTTAGACCGTCTCGAAGATATTGCTTCAGAACTCAAATCACAGCTTAAAACCTTAAAACGCCAATCTGAAACTGCGGTTCAATATAAGAC